TTAACTCTTTCCTGGCTGAACCCATAGCCTTTGGAAAACGCCTTATCTTTTGCCAGCCTTAAGATATGGCTCCTGTGCCTGGAGGGTCAGCACCTCCTGGACACAGCATCAGCTTCCACACAGTCCACCAACTTTGTCAGAGCTCTTCTCAGGATGCCTTTAAGGTCTTTTTATTAATTTTCTGCTGCCCCTGCAGAGTTCCAGGGTAAGACTGAGGTGAAGATCCTGGAAGGGGACATACGGGACGTGGCGCTCTTGCATCGTGCCTGTCAGGGGGTCTCCCTCGTCATCCACACCGCTTCCATCATCGACACCCTGGGCCTCATAGAGAAGCAGCTGCTCTGGGAGGTCAATGTAACAGGTGAGCAGGCGAAGCACGTTTCTCAAACCCATGTCTTTATCTCCCTCCTTCTGATCCCAAAACCCTCAGTGACTTTCAGAGAACTGGTGCTGCCCAACCTGACCTCCTTGGCTGTGTCGCTTCAGCTCCTTGGTGAAGATTTGAGGAAGATGTTGTTATTTACATGAATAGTTTTCCTGGTTCTTTGTTCCTCTCTGCCACAGATACAGGGCTTCTTCACAGAAAAATAAGGAAGATTATTATTACAGGCACCACTTGTACAAGTGCTGGCTACTCCCTGTTGTTCAGAGCAAGAGAATGTTCTTTGTAGCAGAGTTGTCTCTCCCATGCACCTTAAAAACAGTGGGATGGCATTTTGGTTGATTTAGCCTGGCTCATTGTTTTACATTCAGCTTTCAGACTCTTTAATTCCTGCTCAATCAAAGCCACAAATGGTCAGTGGCCACAAGTCAGAGCCCAGAGGGCAGCTTCTTGGATCCCTGCCACGGGGGAAAAGCAGAAAGGCAAGTTCCTGTAAACCTGGGTAGTTGGGTAGTAAAAAAAATAAATATACAGGGCTGGTAGTTCAGAAAGAGGATTTGTAAAGGTCTCTGTTTATGACCATACTCCTACAATCTGTTTTTCACAGCAGCATGTGTTGCCTAAACACATGGGGGGAAAAAAAACCCCAACAACAAAACCCCATGTAAGTATTAAAATGTCCCAAAAGCAGAAAGCTCTCTAGCTCTGAGCTGGAGTCAGAGCTAGGTAGTTTATTTAAGTCTTCCCCATCGTTCCTTCTGGCAGGTTTAGATTTAAGCACAGAGTATCTGGGTTTCATAAATCTTTCAGAGCCTGCCTGCGGGTGGAATAAGCCCACTGGGCCGGTGAGGGTTAGCTGATAGCATTTGGTGGAATGAAAGCACACACCAGTCCTGCTCCTCCAGCAAACCGATCCTAAGGTCAGTCAGTAAATGTTGCAGCCCTCTTCCTTATTTCCCTCCATTTCCACTCTGATGCTTTTCTGGCTTTCTGGCCAGCCAAGACATTGCTGCCTAAGTTCATGGACTTGCAGGATTAAAGTTTTGTTTCTCCTAGAATACAGAACTTTTACCATACAGATGTGTCAAGGCACCAGCTGTGGATGCTCAGGCACCAGAACAGAAACAAACAAGTTAAACTTGCCAAGATGCAGGGCTTTCCCCTGTCTCACAGGCCACTCAGTGCCTCAGAGCAAAAATATCCTTTTAGGAAGGGAAGCAAATTTTTAGGAGTAAGGGAATTAAGAAAATAATGAAACATAATCCCAACAAGGGTACCCTCTGTGAATCAGATCCTCAGCCAGAAGGGCTTTGTGTGCAAGCAAAACTGCTCCGTGGAAGTTTTACTTTATTACATGCTGTGAAAGACGCTCAAATTCCCACTACGGTAAGAACCTTCTCATGTTTTACATCCAACTTTGATTTTTAAATAAAACACATTTTAATTGGGTGAAATTGATCTAGAACAGATACCAACTGTCAAGACAATTTCATGCTTGCTTTTTTAAAAACTTGCGATGTAATGTGATTTTTATCTTCTGCACTTCATTACCTTCCCTCTAAACAGCATTGATGGCAGGAATTAAGCTACTAATTTTAAAAATAATGTATTCTATTAATTAATTAATTATCCAAATTAAAATCTCCCTGGCTTTTGTGTCCCAAAAACATAGTGACTTGCATGAACTCGCTTTTCACATTAATTTATTCCTGTTTGTCTAACCTTTTTTCTTTGTTCTCCTTTAGTGTTTCTTAAAGTGTCATCCAGATTTATTTTCCAGTTGTTTCAACTCCATTCTTTTTCTTGTTCAAGCCTGAAAAAAGAAATTTTGGTGCCCTAACAATACTCAGTTCAATAATCCTTCTCATTCTTCACTGATTAATGGGTCCATATTTTGTTGCCAGTATTCCTCAGTCCTCTGAGCCACTTTTATTCATTATATTCTCTTTAGCAATGCTGGCCTGCTCTGCATTGTGCTGCCTTTGGTTGTAACAGGCTGAGCAGACTGGTTAGATCATTTACGTGCCTCACTGCCAGTGTTTGATTTTATGCCTTAGATTTTAGGTCACATCCTCTGGTATCATGTCAGTTATTTTGGGTTAATGCTCCTTTGCCAAAGACACTGTCAAATGTCTTTGAGCCGTATCTTATGTTCCAAAGTCTCTGGCTCTTTCACACATAATCTCCTTCATTACACCATGCACAACAAATAAGGCAATTTTTCCCTTAAAGCTCAGAAGAAAGAGAGTCTACTTGCAATTAAAAAACCACAACCTATTGATTTATTTATTTCCTGCTTCAATATGCTTTCCTAGTTTAACCCTCTTGGGTATTTGAAAGACCTTCAACTTGACAGTTTACCTCTGCTTTCCTCAATTAAAGCATTATGATAGGATTTTAAAAGTAAAAAATCTTGCATTACCGCAAGTAAAAGCCAAAATATGCCAAATGAGGAATACATTCACAGTCATCACTTTGCTCACTGCACATTATCAGCTTTGACTACCTGCTATCAAGCCAGTTGAATAGGGCATGACTCCCACCGGGTGAAGCTGATTTTGCAGCAAACCTTCAGGTCCCACATTGATTCTGGCCCCGCTTAGCAAACGACCCAAAAGCATCCTCAAGCCTGGAAAACAGGGGCTTCAGCATACAAGATGGATGATACCTAGTGAGAGGGGCAGCTTCTGAAGGTTCTCTGCCCTAAACCAATTCAACCAACAGGCACAAGTCCCTGAATCTGTGGTCAGTATCCATGCTCACCTAAGCAAGAACAAAATGTGACTCTTGACATAAAAAAACCCCACAACATGCAGTTAAGACCAAGTGTGCATCCTTGTTTAACTCCAGCGGGTGCACTGACACCACTTAAATACAGATGCAGAGCAGGTTCAGTATCACTGAATGCGCTGCCCGGTTCAGGAGAGGATTCTTCCCACTGCAGAGAGGGGAGACCTGGCCAAGCTCAGGCCAGAGACTCTGTTCCTGATTTAAAAAGCACACTTTTCATTGCTTGGAGAGCTCTTGACTGACTTGCACGTTTCTCTTTTGAAGGTACTCAGCTGCTGCTGGAGGCATGTGTCCGCTGCAGCGTCCAGCACTTCATATATACTAGTACCATAGAAGTGACAGGCCCAAATTGCAAAGGAGACCCAATTTTCAACGGTGATGAAGATACAGCTTATGAGAGTGTGCCAAATTCTCCTTACGCCCAGAGTAAGAGGCTGGCAGAGGATTCTGTGCTGAAAGCAGATGGCCAGGTATTAAAGGATGGTGGCATGCTGATGACTTGTGCCCTGAGATCCATGTATATTTTTGGGGAAGGATGCCCGTTTCTTCAAAGTCATCTGGACAAGTGTTTGTTGAACAAAAACATCTACTTGCGCTTCTCCAGGAAGGAGGCTTTGGTGAACCCCGTCTACGTGGGGAACATCGCCTGGGCACATGTGCAGGCTGCCAAAGCCCTGCGGGTCCCACAGAAAGCCAAGCATATCAAAGGGCAGTTCTACTACATCTCAGATGACACTCCTCATATGAGCTATGCTGATCTAAATTACGAGCTGACCAAGGACCTGGGGTTCGGAATTGAGCCCCGGCTCCCCATGCCTCTGACACTGTTGTATTACTTCTCGCTGCTGCTGGAGATCGTGAGCTTCTTGCTCCGGCCCTTTGTCAGGTACATGCCCTCCACCAACCGTCACCTGGTCACTCTACTGAACACCCCGTTCACCTTCTCGTACAGAAAGGCACAGAAGGATTTTGGCTACGTGCCCCGCTACACGTGGGAAGAGGCCAAGCAGCGGACTGGTCAGTGGATCGACTCCATGGTCCCCCAGAGAAGGGAGTACTTGAAAAGCAAGGCTGACTAAGTCTTGAGGAGCTGAGACCTGGCTAAACAAGCAGAGCCTTGAGCCAAAGGAGAGCTGGGTGAACAGCAGCAGCAGCAAACTACAAAGCACTTGAACAAAGACTTTGTGTAACGGTCCCCTCATCCTCCCCCCGGCCCAACCCAGAATAAATAAAAGTGAAATGTTCATTTGTAGAGTGCAGGCTGATCAGGGTAAGCTTTACATCCTCTTCTACACCTTGTGCAGCACGAGGATTTAGTTAAACGCCATGCAGTCCATGGTGTAAACACGTCAGCCCTTCTTTTGACTCCACACCACCTGTAAGGCTTTTGTAAAACAATAAGGGCACAGTCCGTCCTGGAACTGTGATTATGCTTTACAAATATGTAATACCCAGCTATGCCCTACTCTCCCAGCTCCCGCCAGCCTTACTTATGCAGCAGGTAGAAGCCACCCGATTGCAAAAGCTGTGACAAGTCTTACTTTTTCAAGAGCATTGCCCAGTTTCATGTGCCATTCACCTGAGGGTCTAATTTGAGAGCAAATTTGGGCACTGTAAGCATTGTGAGGTCAAAAGCACAGTGCAAGTACAACATAATTGTATTTAGGTCGGTTGCGGGGGGGAGAGAAGAGATAGATTTAGTCAGGTGAAGACTTCTGCGTCCGTTCTCATTTTCTTAGTTACCAATTTTGCAGTAAATCTGATGGCTGCCCAGCAAAACAACAGCTTCAACAAGATGAAAAGGAGAAAAACATTGCAGGACAGCCTTGGTCATGGAAGAGTTTCCATTGAAGAGTCAAGACATTTGTGAACACTGAGGAAAAATAGTGCTGGAAAAAAACATCCTATTTCTAGGTTTCAGCTGAGAACGAAGGCAAACTTTAGCCGATAGATGCACATGTGCTGTCCCTGTGCTCTTCTGATGGCCCTGTGAGTTTCTGCAGAATGTGTAACTTGACTTTTGGGCCAAAAATGTAGAACTTGTCTGAACAAATAGATGTGATTTGGTGTTTGCTTCTTAAACATACAGCTCGCTTGCTGAAGACGGCTCTAAAAGATGGGAATTTCTCTGTTTTGTTCAGGAAATTGTGAACAGAAACCTTTTACCTGACTCAGTACTAACATAAATAAATCACACTTCCAGAGATGCTGGCAGCTTGAAGTCTGTCTTGAGTTCGATTATTCAGTGCCCTACACATTAGATAGTCCCAGTGCAAATATTACCATTTTCTGTAGTAACATCTTAGGTTAACTGTGCAGGGTACGAAGCAGTAGAACACCAGCCACTAGAACTCCCAGTCATATTCTGGGAACACAGTTTTCCAGGCTCCCATTGGAGGCTTTGGAAACACTCTGCAAACTAGTACTGTGGATGTTATTTGAATGCCATCACTTCACAGATAACCATGTCAACATCTTCACCCCTCTCCACTGAGTAAGCAGTACTCAGAGTTCCTCCTGTATTAGTAAGCACACAGATCTATCCCATGCTGAAGGAGACACGTCCCCTGCTACATTAGATCCTGATAACTCCTCTAGAGGCTGATGGAGAGCGAGGAAGTTTGCAGCTATATTAAAGAATAAGGGACTTGAAAATGAAATTTGGAATTGCAAACTCCTGGATGGAACCTGTGCCAAGAAGGCTGATGTGTGCACTTGAGTTTAAAAACAGAAAAAGAGACGTTATTTAATGCATTCAATTTTGCTCATGGAAGACAAGCAGCACATCAACATGAACGTCTAATCAGCTTATATAACCCTTACTAGGAGACTCTTATGCCTCAACGTCACATCAAAAAAATACAGTTTAAATAATAAACTAATTCCCCACATTTGGTCCAACTGAATCTAAGTTGAAGCCAAAGTTTCCAATTTTTTCTGTTAAGCTGATGACAGCGAGAAAAGGACCAGCAACATGGGGGCACGGAACCAACCAAGGCATGAATCTTGTGTGCATCACTGACAAATGGAGAATAATTTGGGGAGCCGTCTCTACACGTTTTTAGTAGTTGTTGTGGTCTGGACATAATTTGGCCAACCTCATCTTCAAACAAACTATTTTATAAGCTGGGTGATTGCCCTGTCCAGAAAGGGAGCCAATAACATATGGCTTAAGACAGTCTCCTGTTCCCAGGCATTTGCTGGAAGAATCAACCCACTCAGTTTAGCTTTGCAATTAGCCCAATTGTCTCTTTGATTTTGCGGTTTTACTTAAACCCAGGCCTCAAAATTGATGAAAATGAGGTCAAATCAATCCCACATTAGTCAGTCACTCATTACCATGGCAGCAGTTAGGCACCCCTCATCCTGCTCTAACCCCTGGTGCAGGTTTTAGTCAGGGCAGGGTGAACTTTCTGCCCCGTAGCTGGTATGAGACCGTGTTTTGGGTTTGCCCTGAGAAGAGCGCTGATAACACGGGGGTGTTTTGGTTGGTGCTGCGGAGTGCTTGCACCAATCCAAGGGCTCTTCCAGCTTCTGGTACTGCACCTGTGTTCCCAACTTTCCCACTACAAGCAATGGGGGGACACATTTCAGACAGCTAACCCACGCTGACCGAAGGGGTGCTGCATGCGTTCCACGGAATATCGTGCTCAGTGTAGGTAGGCTGGGAGTAGGTCAAGGGCCCACAGCTTGTTCTTATAGTTTGCTTGTTTTATTGCTCGTTTGCTCCCTTGTTTGTGCATCTGCTCGTTACTGAGTTGATGGGTCGGTTGGCTCTCTCGGTCACTCTCTTGCATGTGGGGCTTGCTTGGACTCTGCTGCCATCGCTCTCGAGCTCTGACTCTCACTATTCAGGACCTGGCTGTGTGTTGGCCAGCGGATGGTGAGCAATTGTATCACATGTTCTCTTTCCTATTATTGTAATGACTTATTATTAGTAGTATTGTTAATATTATTAGTATCACTATAATATTAATTTATATTCAATTATTAAATAGTTCTTATCTCAATCCATGAGATTCGTTGTCTTTTTCTCCAAGTCTCCTCCTCCACTGGTGGAGGGGGGAGGTAAGCGAGCGGCTGTGTGGTACTTAATTGCTAGCTGAGGTTAAACCACAACTTGCAGCTAGGGAACTTCTGTGGAAGGTTTAGGTAAGAGCATCTGCAAAACTGGCCAGGACACTTGAGACCATCTCTTCATGATGCACAGGAGAGGGAGTGGGCCTGGGTCTGCCTCTGGGGTGGATGGAGCTACAAACTGAGCCAGAGGAACAAAACAGCCTGGGGACCCAGCGCCTTCAATGTTGGCCTGCTGAGGGTTTATGTATGCCTTGGAGACACTGACTCGGTATCCAGGATCAAGAAAAAGTAGGAACAGAGAACAGGATGGGAAAGGTTAGGGAACAGGATCTCATGTCAGGACTGATCTGAAACTCAGACAAAGGAAAGAGCAGGTTTGCTTGAGGTTCTGTGAAGACCAGTTCCCAAGAGGCTTACGCTGTGGTAGGCATTAGAAATTTGCACGGAGGGGAACTGGCTTACTGATAACCTCATGGTTTGTGAACTGCTTTGGATTTGCAAGAATATGGGCCCAGCAATTTGGGGAAGAGGGACTTTGGGAAAGGAAAGTCTCTAAGGAAAGCTTTGTGCTCTTGAGGGAGCTGAAGTACGGTTGTTATCTCTGTTGGCTCTGGGGTTGAACAGGGCTCTCATAATGCGTAAGACAAAATGCTGCTGAAGGTGGTTATCAAACCTTGCTTGGAAAAGCAAAAGGAAGGCGTTTGACAAACAGTAACGCTCATCATTTTTCTAGGCTAGTGAGATTTTAACCTCATGTCCAGTGAGACTGATGACGGGCACAGCCACGACTGCTCTGTCACTGAGGTAGGGGTAGAAAGGACAATCCAGCCACACAGAAGCAGAGCAGGAAAGGAAGGGGGAGAGCTACAGAAGCAGAGTGGCTATTTAATAGGAGAAGGGGCTTAACACATCAGAGCTTACAACACGTACCAGAAAACTGGGACGTCTTTGCCCAGGCTTAACAGAGTTCCTAAAATACCTACAGGCACTGCCAGAGAGAATAAAGGACAACTTTTCTTCCGTGGTTCAGTGACTCATCTCCCAAATGCGGGCTCCTGTTGCCAGAGCCTACTTTGTAATTTTTGCCCTCTCATTAAGACAGCGGGATCTTTTCATCTCACTGAGGACTGTCCTTCCAACAATCAGATTTCTAAGCACCAAATTCCTCCTTTGTTGAACTTCCTTCCTGTTTCTTGTTACCACATCCCTTCCTTCAATCCCACTGTTAAAAATGTAGACCTTATGTAAGGGTTTCTCAAAGTTCAGTTTCTGGCTTTTAATTCTTGTTATGCTTTGTCTACTAAAACAAAAAGCTTTTGAGAATGCTGAAGTTTCTCCCAGTGAAGGTACTTACATACTCTGTAAACACCTCATCCCTTTGCAAAAAAGAACGGAGCGTCTTCAGTTTCTCATTACACGCTATTTTTCAGATATTCTTGCATCTCAAATTTTTCAGTGCAGTGATTGTAGCAGGAGCTAGATACACATTTTTCTGATAGTCCCACATGCAACTTTAGGTACAGTAAGCATTTTACTAACCTAGAACAAAAGCACAGTGGATTGGTATGTGTGCTGGGGCTTTCTACACCCGGGCAAATGCTGGCAACACAGGAACAGTGCCTACCCACTGCGATGTTCAAGGCAGTCACTCTCCTGGCAGGTGTCTTTTGGTCCATCTTGCAACCAATGTCTCCTGTCTGTGAGGCTCCTGAAGTAAATGCTGGCACACAGGTATTGCCAGAGCAACGGGGTCTTTCTGGCCAGCCACTAGGAATGATCAAGACGCAAAAACTGTTCAGCACTGAGCACGGCATGGTGGGTTTTGCCTGTAAGAAGTGATTGAGGCAGCAGTGCTCAAGTTTTCTTGCCTCTAGAGACTTGTTCTCAGCCCTCTTAAATTTACCCATATATTTACAGAGAGAAAGCAGTTACTTTGAGGACGATCTCATTTACCTTGCTCGCGGTGTTGCCAGAAGTGAGGGAAGGGAAATAGGAAAATGTCGCAATGGGTTCTTGATCAGCTCTTGTAACGAGGACTGTGACAGACTGAAAATTGTCCAGGCCCCACTGCAGGACCCCAGCTGGGATCTCTTCCCCCCGGCTGTACTGTGAGTGCCTCTCTGCTTGGATTCCCTGCAGCTCCTGGGTGAGGACACACCGGGCAGA